CTTTGCGAACATCATGAGTGGGCACCGCCGCCTCAGGGGAACTGAGAGCGACCACCGCCGCCTCGGGGGAACAGAGCGGCCACCGCCACTTCCGGAGCCTTGTGAGTGGGCACCGCCGCTTTGAGAACATCATGAGCGGGCACCTCCGCTTCGGGGGAACTGAGAGCGGACACCGCCGCTTCGGAGGCACAGCGAGCAGACACCGCTACCTCGGGGACTCTGCGAGCAGACCACGCCGCTCGCACCGACATCAGCGGAGGTTCCTGCATGCTGCGTACCAGCCCGCGATGCTCCAGGAACGGGAGTGAGGTACTGAGTGCAGCCGACGAGGTCTCTGACGACCCTGGGATGGCCGCCTCGGGAGAACTGTGAGCAGGCTCTGCAGCCTGCTCCATCCGGATGGCTGAGCCGCTCAACTGCAGAGCCATGTTGACGTAGTCCTCCAGCGCCTCTTCGGTGTGCCAGAATGGCATAAGGGCTCTGGACGGCTCGGCTAGGCCACCCCAGAAACATACCATTGCGCAGGTCCTCTCCGTCGCCGACTGGCAAGCCACTCGTACGAAGTCCCTGGCGTACTCCTCAATGCCCCGGTCTCCCTGACGGATATTGAGGAACCTTCCTGCTGGACCCATGCTTGGCGGATTATTCTGTCACGGCGTGGTAAAGGAAAAACACAGTGTAAGCAAGGGTCTGGGTCCAAGTGCAGGCTTTTATTAAGCAGTAGGGGAAAACAAAGGTAAAAACCTAAACAGAAAACAAACGGAGCTAAGACTCTGAGACACAGACAAGGAACTATGGAAATCTGATGCAATACGGCCATGTAGAGCTTGCATCAGTCCACACATCACAGCTCGTACACAACTACAAACAATTAATAATCCGCCCAGAGAGGCGTGGGGAAGGCGTATAAATAGCCCTCAGGATGGGCAACAGCTGTGCGTGAGTGAGTGTGTGCACAGGTTTGTGGAGTCAAGGTAACGGAGAAGGAGTGCGGGAAGATGGGAAATGGCGACCTCTGGTGGTGAGAGGGAGAACACCAGACGCCAGACCCTGACAATGATCATCTGGAGTTATCTGGAGTTCCAGCTGAAAAAAAAAAAACAGCACAACCATTTTAACTGTTTAACAAATATGTCCACTGTAAAATCTTATTTTCATAATATGCTACCTGTGCAATAATATTTATTGTCTATTAACATGGAAGAGCTGTCATTGGTTGTCATTTACCTTGTTTTCCCAGTAGGTTCTCTGATAGAATCTCCTAACTGGATCTGCTTGCTGCTGCCTAAATTGGAACAGTTGTTTATGGTCTTCTATCTTGTGTTACTAAAGTGAGAAAAAAACACACAAGCCATAAATTATCAACTATGGACACACAAAAGTAAAATTATATACTGTTTAAAATGTGTACCTTTTTCTCTCTGACTTTCTCTTGCTCTCCCTTTTCTGTATCTGAACTTCTCTTCATCTCCCTTGTCTTTGTGTCGGTCTTTCTCATCTTCTCCCTTTTCTATTTGTCTTTGTCTGCCTGTCTCTTCATCTCACTTTTCTTTCTGGTTTAATGGGTTCACTGGGCTGCTGGTTTAATTTTTGTGTCTAAAGTACTCAGAACAGTGATGAATCTTTTTATGAACTTAATTTTAAAATGTATCATATTATAGTACATCATACGCCATGAGGCTATGTTGTGAATGGATGGGATGCTCAGTTTAGTAGCTAAAATCTGGCCTTGCGAGCTTTGGCCTCAGCAAATCTTGCAATCACAGATTCCATATCCAGTGACTTCCTGACTTCCTGCTCGATGGAGATAACAGCAAGTGCAGACAGCCTGTCCTGAGTCATAGTTGACCTAAGGTATGTTTTGATTAGCTTCAGTGATGAGAAACTTCTCTCACTTGAAGCTACTGTTACAGGGAGAGTGAGAAGTAGTCTTAAAGCTATACTCAAATTTGGATATATGTCCAGTATATTCTCTTTATATATATAGTCCAGCATCTCAAATGGTGAAGAGATATGTGTTGGAAAGGACCTAACGGCACTCTTTACCTCAAGCTTCAGGTCTTCTGCATCAATGTCATCCAATTTCTGTTCTAATCTGGGGCAGCATTCATCCAGCTTCCCTTCATTCTCAGTGCTTCTCATTATTTCAGTAGAGTAGAGAAATCCATAAAGCTTGTAGAAGATTTCCATGTTGGAAAATCTGTCCTCTACTGTGACAAGAGCAGTATCTATTAGAGGCAGAAAAACCTCTCTTTTGAAGAGCTCTTCTGCAGTTGACTGAGTGTGCTCTGTTCCCTCATACTCAAACTGTTTAGTTTTTCTTCTCTGACGCACCTCAGGCCAGCTCATCTCCACCTCAAGCTTATCTGCTATCTCCCTAGCATCTGTTTTAGCAGAATTAAATCCATTATTGCGAAATTCCTGAAGAAATAATTTCACCGCCCTGATTTCTTCCCTCGCGGTCTCGACTGAAATTTTGGGGCTCTGCAGGATCTTACTTACTTTATTTATCTGGAACAACACATTGTACCGCACGATGGTACTTACCACAAAAGGCCATCTCTGCAGCTCCTGGCAGATGCTTTCAGCTGTTGAGACAACATCAGCATCTCGTTTCTCTGTGGCGTACTCCTTTAGAGCAGTTAATGCCTTCACAATTTCAGGCAGCTGGTAACAAATAGCTTTAACAGCTTCAACTCTACACTCCCACCTGATGGCTGACAATGCCTTCAGTGTAAAATTCTTGACATGTTCTTTGAGAATGGTCCAACGGTGAACTGAGGAACTGAAAAGAGTGTAAAGCCGCTGTAACAGCCCAAAGAAACTGATGGACATCACAGAAGACTTAGCTGCATCACCAACAACAAGATTCAGTGTGTGTCTTCCACAAGGAACACATAAAGCTTTGGGGTTTAATTCCAGCACTCTCTTTTGGACTCCCTGCTTTTTACCTTGCATGTTGCTTCCATTATCGTAAGATTGGCCTCGACAGTTGTACAGATCCAATCCTAGTGTTTCTAGGTGGCCTAAAAATGTCTCGCATAAGCCTTTTCCTGTTGTGTCAAGTGCCTGAAGAAATCCAACAAAGTGCTCATGGATGGAGACACCCTTTGATAACTCACAATTAACTATTCTTAGCACCACTGATAGCTGCTCATTGTGACTGAGGTCTGGAGTGTAGTCCATGATCACGGCATAGTATTTGGCTGTTTTTACTCTCTCAACAATCTCAACAATTGCATCAGTTGTACATTTTGCCACAATGGAAATTAGTTCATTTTGAATATGTTTACTTAAATAAGTGTCACTTAGCTCTTTTGTCTGAATTCTCCTCAAATGCTCACGCATCACTGGATCAAACTGAGCCATTAATTGTACTTGTCCAAGGAAATTTCCATTACCAGACTCAAACAATTTGTCGGAGTGGCCACAAAATGCAAGACTATGGTCTGCATTTACTGTCCGAGAAAGATGCAAAAATCATTACAAGCACGGACAGCAAGAGACTGTTTAGTGCCATCGCATGTCTTCGATGAGAAGAGGAAAGTGTGTTTGTTGCTGGTTACTGTATGATGATTGAAATCATGAAATGGCCTTAAACAACGCGTTTCCGCCAAAATAAAAGTTGAGAAAAAGGAAGAACTCTATCAACATTCAAAAATGTTAGTATTGTTAATTTACTGTTGTTCTGTAAAATAATATAACAATTAAAACAATAATAATGATAATAATCATTACAACAGCTCTGTTAATGCATTTATTATAACATTCACACATAGTGTTCAAATT